TTCTGTCAAGAGCTCTCTCACCCCCACCTACCTCACAGGGTGTCTGTTGTGGGGAGCGGAAGGGAAAGGAGTTTGTAAACCACTCTGAGACACCTTTGAGTAGTGAAGGGCGGGGTATAAATCCAATCTCTTCTTCTTCTATATTAATTAGTCCCATTTCAGACTGCTGGCCACTTCGTGGGCAGGGGTGAGGTGGGTAAAGCAGATATAAGAAACAACTGGATTGGAAAGAGTACCAGCTATTATGGAAACTCAACTGGGTTTCAAATGTTCAACTAAATGTGTTCGTTTAGAGCTAGTATGAAGTAACAAGAAAACCAAGTATCTGGGAGCTCAGAGGATTTCTGCACATTTTGGTGTTAAGTTTTTCAGGCATTATGTATGGTTAAGGGAGCTGCTGATAATCCCCCTTTTTTTTAGTAAAGCTTCCAGTGACAGATTCTTACCATAGTGCACTGTATTGAATGTCCCTTGAATCGTTCTGCATGACGAATTATCACCACCACACACACCACATTTATCTCTTCTGGCTTTGGAATTGAGCACATGATCACATCCAGCTTGCTTTAGAGAAAGAAAAGTTCAGAACTAGATTGAACAAATATGAAAACAGGGCAGGATTTACAGGGCTCCAAATTAAAACCATACATCTGCCAAGCGAAGGCCTACGACAGTCTCATTCATTCTTTTCTTTTCCAATATCCTCAGTTAAGCTATAATTATAACCATCTTCCAATTAGGACTTGAAAAATGAGTTTCCTCCAAGCCTGCAATGCGAAGTGCAAAACCACTTGGAGGGAAGGAGAGGGGAAAAGGGAGAGTAGGAAGGATCTATAGAAGCAACAGGCAAGATCGAACATAGTTGCACTGACCCGTAACTGATGTCCGTCAAGTCGTCTTCTGTGCAGGCACACATGGGACAGTGTATGTGCAGGCCTGCTGCCGAGAATTTTTTTCCAAGCTTCTAGAGCCTTCTAACAGCAAAGAGTGCTCACCCCTCCCATCCAGATCAAAGGTTTCCTGCCCTAACTGTCACATGATCAGGAGAGGGGAGCAATCTTCTTTCAGTCTTCCTATTGATGCCATGAGAAACTGACCTGGAATATGGAGCGGCCCACAGTGGGGAAAGGAGCGAGGGATGTGTGCCTGCACAGAAGACCACTTGATGAACATCAGTTACAGGTCAGTGCAACTATGTTTTCATCTTTGCGGCTTCTGTGCAGTCCCACCTGCAGCTCACTGGAGGAGGGTGTGGGCTAATCAGTGAAAAACTGATTGCAGCACCACTTTCCCCACAGCTGTCTCCCTTCTGGAATTCGCAATAATCATGCAGCACTTCATGAACGTGGACGAAGTTGACCAACTGGGAGGAAGCTGCCCTACCCTTGTTATGCCCAGGGAAACAGACAAATTAAAAAATGTCTTTCCGAATCTCTCTTGAGTGATCTAAATAGGTACCTCCTACCATCCAGGGTGCCAAGTGCTTGCTCAGAGAGGCAGGAGGGGGGTGGGAAAGAACACTGGCAGGACTATGACTGGGAGCTATGGAAGTGAGCTGCCACTATGGAGAGAGAAGAGAGACTAAGTCTAAGGACCACTTTATCAAAATGGACCTTAAGATATGGTGAGTATCACTGCAGGCTCTTAACTCACTGACTCTGCAGGCTGAAGTGATGGCAACCAAAAATGCTGTCTTGAAAGAGATTACAGCTAAATCAGCCAAGGGATCAAAAGGCTTACCAAACTGGATAAAACCAGGGGGAAACTCCACCGAGGGGAGGGTGGCTGGGAAGGCGGGAATAGATTAAGCAGCCCCTTGAAGAATCTCTTGGATTGATGAGCAGAAAACATTGTGCAACCATTCACTCTATGTGGTAAGATGAGATAGCTGCCAAGTGCACCTTTATAGAGGATACTGACAGCCCTTCATCTTAGTGATAGAAGAACTTTTAACTGTAACCCACCCAGCAAATTTATCCTACTTTGATCTATAGGACTTATGGGTGCTGGGTATGAAGGCCGCTTTTAGTACCTGCAAAACCCTATCTGTGTATGGAGTCTTCACTGTATCAGCCACACAATCAAGTGTAGAGAATGCACACTGTGATGTACTACCAGACCCTGTTGGAGAAGGTCCACTTCCGTGGGAAGGAAAAGGAATGTCCCCAGAAATAGAACACAGAGGTAGGGAACCATAGCTTTCTGGGCCAGAAGGGTGCTATTAGGATAGCCTGTGGCTTTTCTGCGTTGAACTTTGCAACCATTTTGTGCAGAATAGCAACCAGGGGAAGGCATAGAAAATTCCCCCCTTCCAATGGAGCTGGAAAGCATCGCCAAGGGATTCCCCCACCCATGCAGATCTCAAGCAGAAACGGGTGTTTTGTGTTCCAGGAGGACGTGAACAGATCTCTCATGAGGAAGCCCCATTCTTGAAACAGTGATTCTAGGAACCGTCGATTTAGAGATCATTCATGGTCCAGATCCAAGTCTCTGCTTAGTTGGTCTGCTCTGCCATTCTGGATGCCTGCTACGCATTCAGAGTTTTCCACTATTAGCCAATCATCCAGGTATGGGTAGATTACATACCTTCTGAGTCTGATGTGTGAGATGACTATGGCCATGCATTTAGTGAACACCCTCAGAGCTGTTGCCAGCCCAAAGAGAAGAACACAGTACTCAAAACAGGCTGTGGATGTTGAGCCCCTAGTGCTTTCTCACACGGAACTACCTTGAGGCATGAAGCCATGAAGGCATGCCTCACCTTGGGGATAAACTGCTGACAGAAAACACAGGCCACAGTGTTGTGTGACTCCCCCAGACACCTTAATCAGGAAGTGTGATCATTGGCCTGGGCCATTTTTGTTCCACAGTCAACATACTTTTTAAATAGAGCCATCCTCTATAGTTCAGAGAAGTCAAGAAAGAAAAGCAAAAAACAATATTTTGAAAGTCTATTCATGAGAGCAGGAACTCTAGAAGAACAGATCATCCCCAAGCAGTGGCAAAGAGAAGACAGAGCGAAGCTCACTCCTGTCTTCCAATTGTGTGATGGTTTGGTGGGAAGCCTTTGATCCAGATTGGGGGGGGGGAGTGCTCTTTGCTGCTAGAAAGCTCTAGAAGCTTGAGGGTTCTGGTTTCAGCAACTCGAATGGTGGGCACGCTCCTTCGGATCTTCGATAGGAGTGGCCTGTAACGCGGTGGATGGGAGGGGTACTGGATTATTCCAGACCCCCGGAGCTCTTGTAGGGAGCTCTCAGCCTGTGGCACGAGGAGTGCCTTGATTAGCTAGCACTGTATATCTGCAAGTCTGTTGCCAGCAGTCATTTGTGCTGGCAAACGTCGTTTGTCAGGACCTGAATCCTTGCATCTCTGCCCCAGACCTTGTGGAATTATTATCAGCTTGATCCTCGGCTTTTGACCCTCGGCTTCATTGACTCTGCGTTCATCTCTGACTCCTCTGGTATCGTTGTGATTTATGGACTTGAAACTCTGGTATATCTGACCCTGCTTTTGGACTGTGATTTAAACCTGTTTGAACCTCGCTGCCTGATTTGCTCGGCTTGACCTCGGACTGCTTCGAGACTTTTGCTTGCTTGCGTCACGCCCCCTGGTCCTGCCGTGACATGCCTCTCCCAAGGCCAAGGCCAAGGGATTGAGGCTCCCCTCTGCCCCAAAAGGTCCTGCCGCCGTGGCACCATTATGGCTATGAGAGGCGCACACCGGTAGAGCGAGCAAGAGATCAAGTGGCTATGGAAAACTTTTCCTACCTTCAGTGACCTCAGATGAAGCGTGAGTCCATGCGAGCTTGATACAGGCAAGCATTTAAGCGGGTGACCTCCCCAGGAAAATTTCTAATTCACTAGCGGAGGGGGTGGAGCTGGTCTCACCCCAGATCGGAATAAAAAGAAATTTAAAGAGGTAGAGAGGGGGAAGCCAACTAAAAAGCATCATATAGTCCAAATAAGGTGGATAACGGCTCCAGAGTACAAGCAATTGGTCTTTCAGAGACTTTTTTCAAACTTTTCTCTATAGTAAACAAACGTTTTGTGGGCTGGAAAATGGAGCCGAAAGTAAGACCTTCTTCAGGAAGTGCTAGCTCAGTCGTAGCAACTTCCAAACAGGAACCTACCATAGATTTCCCAAATATGCTGAATGCTGCATCGCGCCCTCTGCTGGACCAGATGAACAGCAACTTTGAGTCTCTCCAAAAACAACTGCAGGAAACTAATACAGAAGCTGAATAAACAGCTAAAATGCTGAAAAAAGTTGATGATAAGACAAAATACTTGACGCAGAGGTTGGAGGCAGTGGAAAATGCGAAAGACTCTGAGAAACAACAGCTATTATTATTGCAAATGGAAAAATCCTCATACATTCTGAGATTTCCGGGTGTCCCGGAACAGAAAGGCGAAAATTTCAAGGAGGTTTTAAGTGAAGCATTGGCACTGGTGGTGGATTTTAAAGCAGAGCTCCTACAAAGCGAGATGGATGTGGTTTACCGGACATATCCGGACTACATCAAGAAAAACAATTTGCCCAGTGAAATATTTGTGAAATTCTCCAAGAGATCTATTAGAGATATAATACTTAAAGCAACCAATGGGATTACCATGAAAACCAAAGGTTGAAACATAAGAATCTTGAAAGACATTCCATTTGAGATAAGAAAGAAGAGACAGCAGTATTAAAAATTGACTATGTCCTTACAGAAAAATTCCACTCCCTACAGATGGATGATACCAGAGGGACTTATCTTCAACTTCAAGGAAAGTAAAGAAAAAATAGACTCTGTTGTAAAAACTAATGCGTTTTTGGAGAAACATAAAAAAAGTGAGAAAGCGAAAGTGAAAGCAGAGGACGACAAGACAGAAGAAGACAATAGCGAATGTGAGCTTGGAAATACCACAAATTCATCGAGCAGTTCCTCAGAAGAGGGTTCAGAATTGGATTTGGGAGAAGCTGCCCCCAAACTTTCTAAGCGTAAAGGGAAGAAGAAGAAGAAATAGATGTGGACATTGAAAGTTTAATATTCTGAATCATAAAATACCATAATTCACTTATTTTGACTAATACCGTTTTCAATGTTTGTAGTGATCAATATCTGAAATAATTAACCTTCATATTTTATTTTTAGTGTTAAAGATAAAGGAAACTTCGTAATGTATTACTTTATTTTTTTGAGATCCTTGTTAGCTTAATAGTTTTAGTTAGATATTCCCTGCCACCCTCCCTGTAATGTGTAGTGGAAAATAAAACGTATATATAGAAAGCTCTAGAAGCTTGAAAAAAAATTTATCCACAGCTGGACTGCACAGTCCCATGTGAGACTGCACAGAAGCCACGAAGACAAATGGTATGCTTATGCCACACGGGTAAGACTTGACAAAACATAGATAGAGCTGTGTCAGATAGCACAGGGTTTTTTACATTTTTTTTTAAAAAAAATTCAACCTACCCACAAAGAAAATACTTCATAGTGTATTGGTGGCAGGCTTTAAAGACCATGTGGAATTGGCTAAAGATACCATGTCTATCACCGTACTCATTCAGATGCCCACACTGCATGATTCAATAATGTCAACCTTAGATACAGTGTTGCAAATCTTTTCCTCACTTCTCTTTTCTCCTGTTGCAGACCCTCTTCCCAATTTAAGACTAGCCAAGGGGACATATAACAGAAATCTCTGCAACTTGTACCCAAACAGCAATGCTAAACATTTTCTCATGCTGTTTCCACGGTGTTTCCACGGTGGTTTCAAGAGTTCGGGAAAGCAAAGAGAACAGGAAATGCAAGCAATTCTTTTCCTTGCAACACCCAACACAAAATGTTTACATCTTTCCCACATTGGTGTGCACAAGCAAATCTTTGCAAATTTTTTCACAGGGGAAGACATGAAAGTCCAGACACTGTGGAGAAGCACAAGGAACAAGAACTGTGAGATGTCTGGAAATGTCTGTTTCCTTTGCTTCTCCACTTTACGGATGTCCATGAATTCCACAACGGAGAGATTTCAGTCACCAGATTTTACAAGCCTATCCCTGAATCATCTCAAATTTATGTCAAGTTCAACATGGATTCAGAGTGAGCTCTCTGATGCCTCCAAGCTCCAGCACCCGGCAATCCCACTGCTATATACTGCGGCCTGGATGCCTCAGCCCTTTGCCCTGACACTACATTTATGTGGCAAATGAATTGTTCTCCTCTCCACCTTCCTCCACCCACACTGAAATTTCTAATCATTTCATGATTTGGGGCTTTAGTGAAACACATCAGATACTATGACAAGTCAGAGGGTAACATGAAACAGAACTCTGAAAAGGGAATCTTATAGCCTACGGTACTTACCAGGGCTCTTTAATTTAATATGAAAGGCATGGAGCAGAATTAATGGCTCATGTGGGGAGGAACTTTAGAGAAATTCACCCTTATCGGAAGACAGCTAACTAGTTCAACAGAAGGAAATATTTACCCGACAAAGTCCTTGAACACAGATGTCATTTGTGTCTGGGCCACAAGGGGTGCCATCAATAACCCTGTCCCTGAGCTGATAATAGGCTGTGTTTCCTGCCACTCTGCAGAAGAGCTTGCACCTGTCTTTCATTAAAACTGCGAAGACAAAAAGAATTAGGTTACTTTGATGCCAGTCTCCCCCCTTCGTATGGGGAGAGGTGCCTTGTCACTCTCTCACAGCTCGGAATTACACATCCCTTCACTCAAAGGCCTATAGCCTGGAGACAGATCACTAGCATCGCTTGGGCAGAGAAGTCAGTCCTTTCCATGCAGCTTGGTTATCAGGAGAACAACTAGAGTGGGGACAGAGGCTGATGACAGCTTCCACCAGACAGGGGCTTGACAGGAGTTCTGGGCTATGGAGGTCTGGCAGAAGTTGACGCAAAATCAGGAAAAGAAAAGCGAAGAAGAAGAAGAAGAAGAAGAAGAAGAAGAAGAAGAAGAAGAAGAAGAAGAAGAAGAAGAAGAAGAAGAAGAAGAAGAAGAAGAAGAAGAAGAAGAAGAAGAAACAACAAATAGAGTAGGAAGTGGATTGCTTTAAGAAACGACCCATTAAAAACTGACCCTGACATCTAAACAACTGGTAAAGCTCTGGAAATGACAGAGCAGTCAATCATTGCTGGCTCCAGGTTTGGGGTGGGGGGAACCGGGGAGCATAAACACCCTCCTAGAAGAGAGAGCACAGCATAACTCTTCCACACTCCTTTCAGAAGCCACACTGGTACAGGTGAAGCTAAAAGCAGTGAAAAGGTAGTGCTCCTCTCTCTCCAGGGTCCTTTCTCCACAAAAATGGGAGAATGCCTCAGAGGTATGGATGCTGTGAATTTCTTAGTGAGCCTGTTCGGCAATCAAACTTATCCTGTTTGACTCTCATAGTCAGACTGTCAGTCAATCAGCAATATGCATTTTTTTAAAAAAAAATTTATTAAGTATATTGCGACATATATACAAAACAAGAACACATCAATATCGTAAAACCTTGTGATATGTACGGTATTGAGCATATAAGATGCTCAGAACGTCATACAAAAATACTTCTCGATTATGTTGCATTACAGAAGTGGATCATGACACCAAATTTAAATCAACCAACTACCAAATATATCATACAACCTTTTTAATGTCAGATATATTAAGCAAGTTCATATGAACCAGTTTTTTAGGAAGCACATTGTGAGATGCCAAATAACCTAATACAGGAAACCACTTTATCACAATATGCATTGAGCAACATGAATAACTGTCAAACAAATCTGCAGCAGCCTGCTGGTCAGAAGGCCATTCACAGCTGACCAGGGCAATATAGCTACATGGTGAAAATGCAAAAGGGAGAGGAGAGTTTGTTTCTCTTCCCTCCCTTTCAAATTGCACGGGGGCAGAACCAATGCTTCTGAGCTCCCCATTGCAAAAAGGAGGGGAGAAAAAGCTCCTTCTCTACTTTTCTCTGCCACCCAATCCAACAACTTGGTGTGGGGAAATGAGAAGAAATCCTTATCCCTACCCCCAAACTGATCCTGGGCAAAAGAGAATAGGAATAACTCTTTTATCTAAAGACCAAGATATCTTGCAGTGGGGAGAAGAGAAGGGCTTCTGATCACACACACACACACACACCCCAGGTAAATTTTCTGTTTTCCAGTTTCCAGGATGGGACATCAGAAGAGCCTGACTTCCAGCTGAGCAACTGAGACTTGGCTTCTGATGGCTGCAAGCAGCCTTTCGCTTAACATGAACAGACAATCAGCCTGTTGATTAATTGTCTACCTGACCACCACTGGTGCATACTAAGTCAGCTGAGCTGGTAGATATTTGAGCATCCTTATTCAGTAGTCCATGGGGCAATCTTCCATTTCTGGTGGGAGCATCCCAGGTGGGTGATGGGCCCTCTGCTGTGATGTGGGTCTTAGCAGATGCCCCATAATGCTGATCCTTAATGCCAGATGACTTTGCATCCAGTTTTTAAGACAGAAAAGTCACTATCAGGTGACTTCACCCCTTACACAGTTTACTTTTAACATGACAGACCACCGAATTCTCAAAGCGTGCAGTGATTTTGCAAATTATTTACACAAGAATTTTCCAGGGCACAATAGCATGCTGTTTAAACATTGGGGGGGGGGGAGCTTTCATGAGAGCCACATAAATATTCCTTGGAAAAGTCACCTCATTATAACCCTTTCATCTCAGAAATGGCAATCCGAGTCATCCCTAAGGAAAGCACATACCATTAAACAGAAGGAAAGATAGGAAGGTGTGAGATCCAGCAACTGACTGCTAACCAATTTCTTGATGCACTTACTTCCGCTATATTTAGGAACCCAGCGCACGTTAGGAGGTAGACCGTTAATGTTAAAATGCTTCCCATCGAAGACTGCACACTGCTCATCCCGGAAATCTTTCTTTTGCTTAGAACACGGGTCAGTGTTGCAGGATTTAAACTTCATTCTTCGTCCCACACAGTACTTTCCACCATTTTTGGGCCTAAAAAAAAGTAAATTAGAAAATATGCATACTTAAAAACTACAAAACACTAGTAAAACTCAAACACACTGACTTTCAACTCATCAGTTTTTGAAAGCATGACTCTTCTTTTCAAATTCTGCTTCAATTTAAATTTGTCAAGCTTTACCACAGCCTGAGGCAAATCAGCTGTTCCTTCCTAACTTAGACACAGGCAGGGCTTTTTTTCTGGGGGAATGCGCTGGAACAGAGTTCCAGAACCTCTTTGACAAAATTAATTTAAAAATGTTTAAAAGTTCATGAGTTTTCAGTATACAGACTGAAAACTTCATTTCCCTCTTGAGAGTTCCGGCACCTATTTTCTTTTCTTTTTTTTAAAAAAGACACAGGTATAACCATCTTTGAAAGACACCAGGCTGTTTCCAAGCCAATCAGCCACAGTACTAAATAGAGTGCCATAGAAACTCCGTCTTCAGGATGATGGACAGTTCTGAATCTGCAAGGTATGCAGAAGAGCAGAATTACCACCAAAAAAGAATCCTGGAGAAGATATTATCTTACAGAGAGGATATCTCTGCCCAGAACCAGAGAAGAAGATTTAAGAACCTCAACTGACTAATATAGAGCCCACCCACCACAACTATCAGCCACAAGCTCCATAAAGCTACCCCTTTAATGCCAGCCTAGGACTGCAAAAGAAGAAGAGCTACTGAGTGCCTCTCAAGTATACGGAGGATGGAGGGCTGCATTTGTCTTGGTGGGTGTCAGATTCTGCTGGACTGGATTATTTGGTGGAAAAGCATTTTCACAGTAGAATTTGAGAGAGAGCTGCAGAATTCTGACTGGAAAACCAAACTGTAAGGCTAGATGAGCTCTAAAACATGCCAGTGCCCAGTACATGCACCCAGTACAAAATAAATTCACACGCTTCACCTCACAGACAATGCTGGGAACACTTTTTTCCTACACAAAGGTTACTTACGTAGAATAAAATGTTATATGTTAAGTAACTTTGTAATTGAAAGCTAAGGATTTGGGCAAGACTGGATCACCATCTTCACATCCTCCACTTTCTCCAAGGAACTCACGGTGGTATACAAGATCCCCTCTCCCTATTTTGTCATGGTAGATTAGGCTGAAAGATAACTCATTAAGGTTGCCTAGAAAGCGTCAAGAGTGGGGACTTGAACCTTAGCCTTCCTGGTAAGCACTCCAACTACAGCAGCATGCTAACTTTTTGGCTGAAATCTAATTTTTGGTCCACTGAAGCATAAAACTCTTCATAATAAAGCAGGATTCATTTACCTCGAGAACTAATACTGGTTTGGAAGAACTTTTGCTTCATAGAGGAAAGTGAACATGTTAATTTGAAGATATTTTTAATGACATAATGAAAGTTTTCAAATCATGATCCTCATAGAAACAGTTTTTTTTTTATTTGAACTGTGTAACCAATATATGACAGCTGGGTCCATAGGCCACATACAAAAAGTTTCCAAGGTAATTCTGTTTTTCAGTACCATTTTTTTGGATTGAAGGCACTCTATTGCATATTTCGAACTGTCACAATCACAAACTGCACCATGCTGGGTTCTGCTACCAAGCTATTATCCATCAGCTGAACAGTACAATAATGAAACTTCCTTTCAATCAGAAAGTGTGGGTTAAAACATACTTAGAGCTCTGAAATGGATTTTCTTTTCCAAACCTGGCTCAAACCACTCTTACAAGTTTTGTAAGAGCTTTAAAAGCATTTAATGACTTAATATCATCATTCTCGGAAAGAGAACAAAAACAGATACAGAACTGGCTTCATACATCTTGCAAGGGTAGGAAGATCAGGTTGAGAAAATAGTAGATTTCCATTTAGGTATCATCCCTTACCATGCAATGCATTTTTAGTAATGAATGCAAGTGGATGTTTGCAAATCTACCGTTCTTATGCATCAAATTGTATTCCAAGCCCTGTAATTAAGAGACAGTGGTATAAAATTAATCTTGTACAAACTCTGACAGTTAGAATAACTCTGGAACCCCTTTGTAATATGGAAAATATCAAACAAATTGTTGATGGTCAGATGATTGTTTGGCCTCTTCTAAGGCTTAGGATCCTGCTCAGTATCTAGTTTTACTGACGGGAACTTTTCAGATGGGTAGTAATGCTATAAAAAGTTGAAGGCCATAGGAACAGAGGAAGGACCAATAGGAGATGGACTGACTCCATAAAGGAAGCAACAGCCTTCAGTTTGCAAGACCTGAGTAAAGCTCCTAATGATAGGATTTTTTAAAAAATTTATTTTTATTAGTTTTTGTATATACAAACAACCATATACATCTTATATTTCCATACAGTTCGAGTCTGTCATTATAACTTAACTTGAATCCATTTACATACCCTCGACCATCTTTTTTGATGTATCTCATCATCTTTACCTTGCATTATAACATTTATTTTATCCATCTCAGCTAGAGTTAACAGTTTGCTAGTTAATTCATTTTCTTTCAGAGTTTTGTCAGATTTTCAGTATTTTGCCCATAAAATTCTAGTAGATGTTACAATAATTATTATTAAGTATTCGTCACCGTATCTAATCTCCTCAGGAAGCATATTCAACAGATAATATTCTGGTTTTAATTCCAAATTTACATTAGTAATTTCAAGAATTATCTTTTGAATCTTATGCCAATATTTTGAGCTTTGTCACAACTCCACCAACCATCCTTTTACATTTCCAACATTTATTTGTGTTCTTTTTATAACATTTCGATATTTTTACTGGTGTCCAATGCCATCTATAAAACATTTTAAGAATATTCTCTTTATAATAGGCTATACAGTTTTTGAATCAATTTGTCACTGGAAGAGAGCCATAACTTATCTAGTTCATTCTTTTCAGTTTCAAAGCCATAAGAAGCATCTTTAGCATATCTAGATTTTAATTGTAAATGTTGCCACCATGATAATTGGATATTCTGTTTTAACAGTTCTTCCTCCGTTTTTAGTTCATTATTTTTAATAATAATTCATAACTTTCATTATTATTTGGTATAACTAATGATGGTTTAGTAAAGGCCTCTAAGGGTGAAACTCAACTGGGAGTTTTCCTATAATATCTCTGTTTTATATTGTCCCATGTTTTAACTAGTGTTCCTCTTAATATATGGTTATGGAAATTAGAATGAATTTTATCTTTTCCATACCAGATGTATGTATGCCATCCCATATATAAATCGTGGCCTTCTAATTTTAAATTCCTGGTATTTTCCAATTTTATCCAGTCTTTAATCCAACATAATGAGGCTGCTTGATAATATAACTTCCAGTTAGGAACACCAAAAACCCCTCTCTCTTTTTTATCTTGTAATAATTTCCATCTTATTCTGTTTTTTTTCTCATTCCAAATAAATTTTCTTGTTATTTTAGCCAATTCAGTGAATACTTTGTTTCTTTTAACCACTGGGATGTTTTGTGCAAGAAACAGAAATCTTGGGAGCACATTCATTTTCACAGTAGCTATTCATCCCATTAATGACAGTTGTAAATTATTCCATTTATTCAAGTCAGTCTTAATGTCCAAAAGTAGCTTATTATAATTGTCTTCTATTAAGTTACTGTTCCTATTTGATATCATAATTCCTAAATATCTAACCTTTTTAACTATTTCCATGGATGATATCTTTTGTATCTAATCAATCATGTCTGCCGAGCAGTTTTTAGTTAATAGTTTAGTTTTCTCATAGTTAATTTTCAGTCCAGCTGCAGCTCCATATTCCAGAATTACCCTTATTAATTGTGAATAAGAATCTTTAGGATTTTCCATAATAAATGCAAGGTCATCTGCAAACACCAACAATTTAAATTCTTCATTTTTAAGTTTCAGGCCTTGTATTTTGTTATCATTTCTCACTTGCTCGTTTAAAGTCTCTAACGCAAAAATAAATAATAACGGCGAAAGGGGGCAGCCTTGTCTTGTTCCCTTTTGAATTTTAATCCTTTGTGTTATGTCACCATTTAGAGCAATTTGTGCATATTGTTCTTTATAAATTGCACCAACCATTATCTGGAAATCTATTCCACAATCCCATTTTTCTAGTTTTTGTAATAGGAATTCCCAAGATAGGTCGTCGAAGGCTTTGCGCCTAAAAACATTAATAGCTGTTGTTTTTTGGGATGAATCTCGTCATATTCTAGAATGTTAATAATAGTTCTTATATTATCTTTCATATATCTTTTAGGTAAGAAGCCAGTCTGGTTGGGATGGATAATCTGAATCAAAACTTTTTTCAATCTTGTTGCTAGAATACTTGCAAATACTTTGTAATCCACATTTAAAAGTGAGATAGGTCTATAATTTTGAATTTGATTTCCTTCTGAGTTAGGCTTATATATTAGTGTAATAATTGCCTGATTCCATGACTCTGGTAGCCTACCCACTTTGCTAATATTTAGTAGGACTTCTTTTAGTGAAGATGTTATCTGAACTTCAAATTTCTGATATAATTTTATCGGTAAGCCATCCGGTCATGGTGTTTTCTTCTTCTTTTGTCTTTTAATTGCCTCTACAATTTCACACATCGTAATAGGATCATTCAGGATTTGTTTCTGCTTCTCGTTGAATTTATTTTTTTATAGGTATTCTTGAATTTTCTCTTTGTCTTCTTCTTTTTGTTGATATAGGTTTTTATCAAATTTCTCTACAGTAATTTTCAAATCTTGTAATTTATATTTTATTTCATCTTTATCGTTTTTCAAAGCCATAATTGTCCTCTCCCTTTTCTTTCCTAATTCTATAAGATAGCCACCTTGATGGTTTATATGCATTCTCAAAGTAATAAAATTTCGTAAATTCTATATTCTTGGCTATTTCTTGAGATAAGAGTAGATTCATTTTATGATGTAATAGTTTGAACTTAATTTTAGGTTCTTCAGTATTTATATTGTTTTTAATTTTATCTTTTTCTACTTTAATTTGGTTTCTTAATTGTTCATACATTTTCCTTTTCTGTTTTCTTTTCCATGC